GCAGCTGCATCCTTCAGTGAAAAACTGAGATAGAGGAGCTTGTCGTCATCACTCCACTTAAAAATTCTTGCCGAAGTCTCAAATTGCACGATAAACGTGTGCCATGTAGACGTTCCACTGTACGTTGGGATGTTGTGTGCGTGCTGTGAAGACATTGTGCTTGCTGTCAATCTTCCGCTCCTTGTACCTTGCATTTAGTCAGGCTAACGAAAATGTACGTCTCTTCGGAGTCGTTGCAAGGTTAAGTATCCCACCGCTGCCACCATTTGTAAAGAACCTTGTTTACACTCCGACAAACTTCATCTCTGGTACTCAATAAGTAAACAACTCCGGTGATACATTTGATGAGTAAACTCGTGTTCTTTATTGGCTCTGTCACTTGCTTACACTTTCATTCATCTCACAGCTCTGACTCCCTCGTCCTCTACCGTCGCTGTTCTCTACCTCTCTCTGCTCTCTGTCCTTCCTCCGTCACCAATCTAACCGTCCCCTCTTATAGGTCCACCAGCCAACCCAAGCGTCGCTAGAGATTACTCCCCCTACCTTCTTAGTCTTGATTCATCCGCTACGCGCCAAACACCTGGACTGAACTCTGCCGTGGGTTTTGCCCCTCATCCCTGCCCGCTGCATTCCTCGCCTTAATTTAATTGGTCAGTCTTCGACCCGCTCCGCTGACCTCCATTGTGTTCCACGTCTTAATTTATATGCTACCCGCCAAACACCTGGACTGAACTCTGCCGTGGGTTTTTCCCCTCACCCTGTCCACCTGGACTGAGGCTGAACTCTCTAAGTCGCTAGAGATTACTCCCCCTACCTTCTTAGTCTTGATTCATCCGCTACGCGCCAAACACCTGGACTGAACTCTGCCGTGGGTTTTGCCCCTCATCCCTGCCCGCTGCATTCCTCGCCTTAATTTAATTGGTCAGTCTTCGACCCGCTCCGCTGACCTCCATTGTGTTCCACGTCTTAATTTATATGCTACCCGCCAAACACCTGGACTGAACTCTGCCGTGGGTTTTTCCCCTCACCCTGTCCACCTGGACTGAGGCTGAACTCTCTACAATATGTGTAACATTTATTGTGCTGTTTATGCATTCACAAACAAACCTCATATCTTCCATTTCACTTTCCAGTTTAGCATTTTTTAATTTCAATGCCTGAAACAATAATACAGAGCATATTATAGAGTTTTTGTAATGAAACTAATCTGAAGATAAAACTTTTTACATTATTGAATCAAGCATTTAATCCTTTATAATTTTCATTTGATATCTCTAGTCTCTAGCATACTAAAAATAAAAGTGTAGCAATCTATAAAGTAATACAATGATCACAAAGACATGAATTAATAAGGCACTTTCATTTACCCTAGAAAATTCAAACTTAGCACCAGGGACTTGATACCTTTGAGTTCAATAAAACATTTTTTTTTAAAAATATATATATAATAATATATTGGTAAATAAATATCATATAATGGATAAAATATTCGCATTAATAAAATAATAGTCTCATGAAATAAATTCAACACATTAAGTAAGGTGGAATGCATAGGGGGTAAGGGAGGGTGCGATTTTGTTAAAGAGAAGGTTGACGGTTGTGAGGAAGGGTTAAGATGGTTAGAAGGGTATAATAGGGGTGAACAGAGGCCTATTGTGGTTTGGGGCCAAGGAAAATGTAGAGCAGGGGTTATTTATCTTTTTGCAGCACCTCACCCCCAAACCATTTAAAAAATGCTAGTCAAAATGTATTTATGAATTTATGGATCTCTGTATCCCCAGACACCTGACCATGCTAAGAGCGCCTGATGTAGGGGATAATGTGGTGGAGCTTTCTTTTAATAGTATTATTTCATTTAATTAACTGTAATAATTAAAAGACAATTATTCTTTCAATCAAGGTGGCCAGTAGGGTGGGAAAGACAGAGTGGTGGGGTTTAAGGGGGATGGAAGATTAAGGAATGAGAGAGGCAAAGGATTATGAGAGAGGTTAGAGAGAGTTGGAACTGGAAACATGGCAGAGATGTAAGGAAGGTACAATCAGCTTGAAGGATATGTGGGTGCCGGGGGGGGGGGTCAAGTCTAAAGAGATGTTTGCTCGATGACATGTTAGAGAAATGTTAGGGGAAAGTAATAGCTGAAGACATGTTGATGTAATAGAAAAAGGGTCAGTATTGTATCTTAGATTTTTGCCATTGGGTTTTATTTAGAAACAAAAATTCTTGCATAGCCTTTTCTCTCTCCCCCCCCCCTCCCCTCTCTTTCCAAACCTTTAAATAAAAATAGAACTGGTAGATTTGCTAGTGGTGGGCATATTTATGAAAATGTAAATGTTATAAAATACTACTTCATACCTTCACTTCACTCTCTAGTTTTGAATTCTTTTCTACACTTCTTTCCAAGTCTTTCTTTTCCTCCTTGACCAATGGGCTTAGTGTTTTATGCCGATTGTAAGCACCAATGAGCCCCAATTTACCTGACATAGTTGCAGGGAGCTGGCTTTTCAACTTGAAATGTAAATAAAAAACATAAATAGATATGGGCCTAAGCTAAAAATGTATAAACAGGGAGTCTTAATCTTTTTTTAGTCCATGGACTCCTTTTGCAGGTCACATGAAACCTGTTCACTAGTCAGAAAGTCAGATGAAGGCCAAGGAACCCTTATTATTATAAAATATTTAAATGCATACACACACACAAATACCCAGTCAGTGAAAACAAACAAAATTAAAATTAGGTATACAACTGAATAAAAAATATATTTTAAAATTCTTTAAGCTGAATTTAAATCCCCCATAAAGAAAAAAAGCCAACTATAAATGATGCTAGATGAATGATTTGCTGATCCTTTTTATCCCCCTTCGCCATCATCACAAATTTTTCATAAAATTTAGACATATGTATCACACCCCCTCCCACCCCCGATGTGTGATGTCAGTTATGTTATTTGTGGATGGCCCATTGATTTTGCGCCAAGTTAGTTAGGTAGAGAAGTTATTTTGACATTCAATGTGACAACCATATTTTTATTTATTCTTATCAGCCATTGGGCAAATTGCTGATGGGTTGTGTAAATAATATTGTACATAAGACTACCCATTTATAAGATGCACCCTGATTGCGGGATACATAAAACTTTGTATAAGATGCGTCTTATATACGTGAAAATACGGTAATCATTTGTCTATATGTGAACGAGTCACTACTGACTATCTGGTCTACCTGTAGTGTCTGGCTAATCAATAATCATTGTCAGTAATTCAAAGTCATTCAATTTCAACTTTAATATCAGTGTTAAAAAAGACATTTAAAATTTAAAAGGCAGTCAAGTACTAACAGAAGTTTTTAATTTATTTCATTAGAAATAATTAATTGCGCTAAAAAAAGGGATTACTAGCAGTCAATCCTCATTAAGTCATTAAGTATAGGCTATAATAGGGCTATACTACTATTATAGAACTCTAACTATAATGGCTATAACTATTATTACTATTATGAAGTGGGCATGTAAATGTAATTATTTAAGGCCTAGGACTAGGAGGTTACACTCACTAGGTAGTAGGATGTAATCCTAATACTATATTATTATATATTAGTTAATGTACTGTGTACTGCAATGTCTGTAACTGTAAGTGTAAGTTTAAGATTATCAGAATCATTTTACTCTTGGTTAATTTAAAACTAAGATAGTTTAGTAACTGAATAAAAAAAATTAAAAAAACTAGTGTAGTGTTATTGAAGTTGAAGTAAGTGTGTGTTGTTTGTTTAGTGTAGGTTGTTCTTGTCCGACCTAGTCATAACACAACTTGTCCTAATTTTTAATATTAACATGAGTCCAAGTCCAGGTGAATCTAGTGTAGTAGTGACACTATTTTGGCAGTATATATCGCTGATCTCTATCAAAAGTGACTCAGAATCAAATCAATATCATTGGTCTATTGGCAGGTTACCTTCTTCTTCTTCTTAGACTTGAGCCTGATTAGTCTGAAGTAAAATGCTAAATGGGACCAGACTTTGTTAATACTTCCAACTTCCAGTCACAACTTCCAGTAATGACTCAAGTAAAAATAGACTTGGACTTTTTTCTTACCACAAATTAACCGAAAAAGAATTTAAGAACCGTAAAAAAATGTTTCAGTTGATCTCATTCTCAGCCGATGGGCATTTTAAAAATATTTAAAAAAACTTTAGTATATGTTTATTTTAGGCTTAAGTTCACCAATGAAGTCGAATTAAATTATTACATCTGGGGGCTTGATGCTTCGTTCTGTCTAAATACTATTATGACTAAATGATATCGGTAACTAGTGTTACCTTTTTTAAAACCAGATGAAACGGTTAAAAACCTAAGTCGAAGGCTTCATAGCTTCAATAGAAGTATAGAATAGAATACAAGAGAAGCAGAAGACTTGTAGGCTATAATAACGTCATTTCTCTGACTTTTTACTTCATTGATAATTTAATTGGTTTAATGTGACAAAACACACGGGTTATTAATATAATATTACGAAAAAATCACTGTCTTGTTCGAGTCTCACAGTGTCACTGATCAGTACAGTTACAGCCTCAGTGATTGAACGATTAGTTAGGATAGGCTTAGTGAGTGTGTCCGTCAGTTCAAGTTTAGTATGGGTATCTCCGTCGTTCCACAAACTAGTCTGACTCAGTAAATAAGTAAGTTGTAGACCTATCCTAATCACTATTCAATTAATTCATAATTAGTCCTCAGCCTCTTAACTTTTACTTATTAGTATTACTTATATTAAATTAGGCTTAGGCTAGGCCTAGTTATTGGTTAAGGGGCCATCCATAATCATAAATGATGTCAATATCAGGCATTGAGGCATCCAAGGTGGGAGAAGGCGGTAGCATTTTTTGAGGAGGGGGAGGGGGTGTTTAAGCAGTGTGATGTCACATTACAAGCCGAACATTTTTAATATAATTATTTTATTTAATAAACAATTATTTTATTTTAAACTACTGAGACTGAGAGAATCATTACAAGTATGCGAGGTCCAAAAAATGGCATCTGATCAAGTTACAGAACACTTGGAGGAGGAGAATCGGGGTGTAGTGACATTGACAGTTGTGAGAATTGTGTAAATGTGGTTGAGGGGGGAGGGGGGGATGATATCTCAGTAAATATTCTAGAAATTCTTTACCATTTTGGAGCACTGCATCCCCTCTAAATTTCAAATCATTTTCAGTTGTTGTTGTTTTTTTTTTTTGGGGGGGGGGGGGGGGGGGGGGGGGTTTTGGATTTTTTATTATGTGACTTTATAATTGAGGGGGGTGGGGTCTAACTTTTTGTGATGAGGGGGGAGGAGGGGTAAAAAATCATTAATCAGTTTGTGTGGCGTCATTTATGGATGGCCCCTAAGTACCTTAGTAGTAAAGTCTATACTATACACCATACATAGTAAAGTCTATAGTTCGTCTTTTTTGCCTATCTTGCCTCTTGGGCGCCCATTCGTCTCAAGGGCAAGGGGGTTTAAAATATATGTGGTGCACATTATGTAAAACCCTGCAACTGAGACAATGTGAGTGGGAGTGACCGCAAGTCAGCGGCATCTCTGGACACATATCTGACGGATACATTAAAGTTGCTACGGCTACGTTCATCCGAAATTCTGCTTAAGCGCCTCAGGGCAATATAAATATGAGGAAGGAAGCATTGAGCTCTGCCCAAGGATTTGTATACTAAATGGGGCTTCTTGCTTTACTCCTCACCAGCCTTTAATGTAGTCTATGTCTATGCTACCAGGGTTATACCATCTGACATGATAAATTATGAAGCCAAAAGCAAAATATATTACACATTTTTTCATGTCATTTTCATTTCTGTTCATTCTTTATATAAATGCTCTTTTGAATTTAATTTAATTTAAGAAGAGAGTTATGTTTTAGTTAATTCTATGCAATGTACTTATTTTTTGTGTGGCTAGGTCATATAGATGTATTTCTCATTTGTGTGCAGAATAACTATATACATGCTACATATATTTATTAGGTGTCATGTCATGAGGCCCTTGTAGAATAGACACATGATCAAAATGGCCAGCAAAGTTATTTGGTCTATATTAAACTCTATACATTGGGTTCCCAGACAGCTGAACCTACACGACAACTGAACCCAAGACAACCGAACCCATGTCAAGTGAACCCACGGACAAGTGAACCCACGGACAAGTGAACCCACAGACAAGTGACCACGTTGACAACTGAACCCATAGACAACCAAACGCACGACAGGTGACCAGAAAAATAATAAAATTGAATAGAATATGTATTAAATTTTAAAATGCCGAAACGCATAGAAAACGTACCACGTAAAATTTTCTACTGATTAAATACATATATATTATTATAATTAGTTTCATTGGTTAAATTGGCTTTAAAAAATAATTTTACTCTGCAAAGTGTTGGGGCTTAAAAATATTTTTATTAAAAAACGAGTAATAGTAGGCCTATAGTTGGCAAATGTCATCCTAATTATTATATTAACTTTATTGCTTTTTTTATATAAATGTCAGCTCTGTCACAAGCGGCCTTGTTTACTCATAAGTAGCTTCGACTCTTTAACCCATATTTAGTTTTGCAATTAGAATTAGAGCAAGTTATTTGTTCTTCTCAAGAAATGTCAACTTACAGACACTCTCAGAGCAACTCTGATAATGAAATGTATTGCTATATGTATAGGCCTATAATATGATGAGCATACTGCTATCAACCGTATCGTCGTAAACAAGTAGGTCCTAGCCATAAGCTTAATTTTAATTATCCTTTCCAGATTTTGAAATTTGGTTCTCCGCTACTACACAAAAAATAAAGTGGTATTTTTACATTTTTACCTGCATACTTTCCAAAATCATACCATACAATTCAGGATATTTGTTGATTTTTATTGAGTTTTCATTAATTTATAATTGAATTGATACATATTAAATAGTAGGCCTATCAATAACCTATAATATAGCTTTGCTCAACTATGCAAAATAAATATCGTCTAAAAAAGTGTTTAGTAGAGTTATAATGAATACAAATTAATGTCTTTAATCTCTACATTGTACGTTTTCTAGACATTTCGTCTTTTTTACATATTCTATTTAATTTTATTATTTTTTGTGGTCACCTATCGTGCGTTCGGTTGTCTATGGGTTCAGCTGTCAGTGTGGTCACTTGTCTATGGGTTCACTTGTCATGAGTTCGGTTGTCTAGGGTTCAGTTGTCGTAGGTTCACCTGTCGTGCGTTCAGTTGTCTGGTCACCTATATATAGTCATAATACTATAAAGTCATAGACACTATTATGACTATGGTAGATGATTACTTCTACTCAGTGGCATAGCTGGGGTTACTGTTGCCTGGAAGCTGGCCAAAAATCCCACCCAACCAAGAAAAATCCCTCTGCAGCATGGCAGAAAATACTACCCCTCCATATGAAGAAAAAAGTGCTGTCCCCTTCCTAAACCATTGGGTCTAAGCATATGTATAATATATATTGTATAGATAGTCGTACGTACTCTTCCATTTAAAATTAAAGAATGCCAGTGGCATTAAAGACATTCAACATATATTCAGGTTCCTTAACTATACATTCATGTGATTTATGATTCACAGTGATATTTTGCCTAAAGACTCTTTTAACAGAAGCATAATGTTTTTATACATTGATGGTTCAACGCTGTCAAGACTATTATTTAGCCATCTGAACAGTCATGGAGGCCAGGTAAATAAGTCAACACTTTTGACTTTAATTTTGATAAATAATAAGCCCTAATGGTAATGGGCTTAGATAGTAAGTAGCAGGCTAAACTAGGAGGAGTGGCAAATGCTCACAATCTGAGATTTGTATTATTTTGTATGCAACATGAATTGTTTGAAAGTAAAATAGCAAACTCATTGTGATTGGGTGATTTTGGGTAAGACAAGAGAATTATTAAAGGAGGATTTAATGAAGCTTTGATGCTGGGAATAACAATCTAAAATGTCTGGGCCTGGGTTAGAATGAGTGAAAGCATGGGGTGCCCCACTTGTAGCCTTGAAGTAGTTTTTTTCAGTGTGGTCTTGGTTGGTGTGAGAGGATTTTATATTCAAGTCTAATGGTAGTGTTCCCTTTTAGTACAGGTAATTACCATTAATTTTCAAGTTTAAACAATCAAAATTAACTTAAGTATTTTTTAGGTCTTAAAGTAGTTAATGTTTTGAACAGCTTACTAATTATTTTTTCCACAGTATGGATTTCTATTGGGGGAGAGAATTGAACAAATAGAAGACAAGATAAGTGATTCTCAAATTCATACCTCCAATGTCAATTCCTTCATTTGTAAGTCATTTCATTTTAAACTTTCAACTGCTAAATCAGCCCCAAAAAATTCAGGGTCTCAGGATATTCAACTCAAAAAATCTCAGCTCTTGCGCTTGATCCTATCTTATTATCAATTAATTTGTTTAGTTTTATGGAGCACATTATACCATTGCAAATTTTCATGAATAAGATCAAGACCTGTTACTTGTTTGAAGGAAACATTTTTTAGGGCAAATATGCCCATTTACATATGTTTTTGTCTTTAATAAGACAAACTTCCTTCATGATCCAGTTGACTGTATTGGTTTAATTATAACATTTTTAAATTATGAGATTCTTTTTAATGTGACCCTGGTTACTAAATGGACATGCCTATCTCAAATTATATATGCTGAATGTGTTTGAAATTTACTGCAGTAAATTCAAAAGTGATGCATTACAGTTCAGGTTGACTTTTATTAATGATTACCCACTGTGACAGAATTCATTCATTTGACGGAAAGAGTTTTTCCTGTCAAATTTTTTAATTGCCATTGACCATGATTTATTGAGCTATTGATTTATTTTTCCGGTTTTCTTAATTTTGGTACCAGTATCAACTTTCTTAAATTATCATTTATTGAAGCAGTTTGAACATATGCAATTGGTCTTTTTTGAATTCAGATATTTCCTCATTTATACCTTGGCTTGGAAAAGACTTGATGTACCACAGAAATGGATGCATCAATGAAAAAGAGATGGATCGCCTTCTTCAAAAAACAGATCAGGTTAGGTCAACAAGTAGCTTTCTTGTGGCTACTTTTAGTAGGGTAGTAATAAGCAATTTGTGTATTTTGCTTTATACTATTCAGACTGTAATACATTTCTTATACTTCTGTAAGCTAAATACTTTCTAAAATTGTATTTATTTGCAGACTTTAGTTGGATGGTATAGTTTTCGGCACCAGACTCGTCAGAGGCCATCATTCAGAGAGTTAACTTTGCATGATAAGCTGACAAAGGCAGACAAATATGTTAAGGACTCAAGTGATTTCCTATTTTTCCTGTGCACATCATCATTCTCCAAAAATATGTCAACACACCTCAGCAGCCATGGTTTCATGCATCTTATTGACAGGTATAAATAAAATAAAAATATTTTTTGTCTGTTTCCAAGCTTAATTTCTTATTTATTTAGATGTGTAAATATTTCATAATTTACCCTTTAATGTTACAACAAATTATGGTACCTAAAATTTGAGACAGGGTTTTGAAAAATTATGCAATTTATTTCCATTGCTAAGTTCATAAAATAAAATTTAAATGGTGTAACAATTTGTAAATTTTTAAATGCTGTGGTGCAAGCAGAGCATTGAAATATGTTTGGGAGGGGGGGGGGATATCACCCTAATAAATATGTCTATACAGTTTAAATTATTGAAATTACTTTAAATTATTTTTGCATAATTGGGAATGTAAGAAGTTGAACATACAATATGCACTCTCTCATGTGGGTGTGAGAATTTGAAAACATGTTGCCTTTTATAACATAGCAAGGCAGTTTTGTTCCAGAAATTAGGATGTTTTTATGTTTTTATAAAATAAATTATTTTGGCATGGATTTTAATGTTTTTACCACAAACTCATAAAGAATGCAAACTGGTTCAGACGCCCTCTCAAAGGGGATTTATACAGTGGGTTTCTCCCTCGTGACTAATTCACAAAGTAGCTGGGGCGAAATCGCTGCCTAGGAGCAGCTTCCTTAAATGGTGTGTAAATAGAATCATCAACATGGGGTTGCCACACCCCACCTCATGTCACATATCCATTAACGGCAACATGTAATCATGTTCCCTACCCTGTTTCTGTTTTAAATTCCAACTACAGATTTTCCACAGTTGGTAGCCCTGTAGATGCTACCATTTTTGGCAGATACCATGCATGTCCCTTGTCAACCAACACAGGCATGTGCATTGGTGGTTTTGTTCTCCGGGTAATCCCTGGGGTCGGTGGCAACACCTCTTTAGTCAGCAAGCCACTACAGACTTACCAACCAGAGCCCTGGGGAAGGAAATTTTGTACTACAAACTTATACTCACAAAAATTTCAATACATTAACAAAAATTCCGTATCCATGCCATAAAGTAGTGATAGGAAATGTTTCATTCGTGCCATAAGTATAAGAACAGTGAATGAACATCAGTACATATCCATGCAATAGTTTGTTTAAAATGAGCCTATGTCCAGGAGAGGAAGCTCTCCTACTGGCTAAGCTACCGCTTTTGGTAAATCATTTTTTTGTTACTTGTTACAAGTGTGTTATTTTGTATTACTTTCCACAGAAAATTAGTTGAGGTGCCAATGACTATCATGAATTTAGGAGACACAACTCGAAAAGAGTACCGCAAGCAAAGCAATGCTACATTATCCCACTGTAAAACTGTCCAAGCTTCTCTTATTAAGCACGGGTTCGTAAAAAAAATTTTTAAAGTTACATTAAACTTCTCCACATCAAGTTTTTCATTCACATAGTATTAGATGTTCTCAGTTTTTTTTATTCCAGAATGTGTTTTTGCCACTGGGAATTTTAGGGGTCCTTTTTAAAGATTCTTAAATTCCCTTTGCAAGCTCTCATTTAGCTTGTCAATGGTGTTTTCACAGTTCTAATCATTGAAATTTCATTAAGTATGATCCAGGTGACATACAATGCTCAAATGTTTAATTTATCAGCATTAGGTGGAGCTTGACTTTTACCTATTCCGAATTAAATGTAGCACTAAAGAATTATTGTCACACTATCTCTGGGTTTTTATGCGCAAACAGCTAATCAATGTGATATGACAACCATCATTACTTGTTTGTGTGCATGGCTGCTGAGGAAGCCACCACACATCTCATGAGTGTCAAATCGGTTGATGATTAGAATAAATTTATTTATTTTTAAAAATTAATTAATGTGTGTAAGTAGGGACATAAAAAAATCTTTGTGTTGTTGTGTAAAATACAGGCCATGAGATATTGTGTGAGATATTGCATATGATATTATATATTTAACGCATTATTTAATCTGTTTTTCTATCTTTCTTCTTTAGGAAGGACCATCTGCAACCGTCTGGTGAAATGGATCAAATTACTAAAATTAAGAGTCTTTCGTCCTCATTCAATAAGGGATTAATGGTGAGTACTGTTTTTTACACACACAACTGTTACTAGAAAAGCTAAAATCATCTTAGTAAAGAATTGTAAACAAATTCTTAACCTCCTGACGTTTGCTGTTGATCCTTATGTTTACTTCACAATTAAGTAAACAGATTTTTGGTTGTCGGTTTTGTTATCAATAAACACAATTTTAAAAAAAATCAAGATAAAAAAAAACTTTTAAAAATAAATTGATCCGCTTTCAACTGCGGCTTATGATCTTATTAAAATCATGTCAATCCGACTGTCGCTGATTAATATGTGATTGGTTTGTTTCATCAAATTCTTTGACACATTGATACGTCGAAATCACACCGGACTGAACACTAGTCCTTTTCTATTAGTAATGTAATGTAAACTTTAATCCAGAAACATATATATCAGGCTGCACAATGAATCAAACACATGTATAACGCAGCTCACTATAAGTAGAAGAAAATTGTACACAAAGTTCTCTCATTCACTGCTCAATGAAATGCACATGCACCAATAATAGACACCACCATCACAATTATCATAAAAATACATCACAATGTGTCACAAGTCTTAATGGCAAATCAAGCCTTCATTAACTAAACTACTACACAAGACACACTGCACACAATAAAATATTCTTTGAGCAAACATTAATAGTGAATACCCATACTCGACACTGACCTTGCTGTGTGAAGCATTTGGGAATGCATTGTAAAATCTTGATAACTGGTTTAAAACCAGATTTATAAGAACCAGTTTTCCCTGAAAAAAACAATAAATTTTTAAAAATTCTGAAATCGGGGTAACAAAATTAGTTTATAAAGAGGCATTTTTGCATCATTTATTGCATAAATAAAATTAAGTATATGTGTAAATAAAAGTATTTTATAAGGAAGTGTGAAATTTGTGTAACTGCCTAGACAGTGAACTAAAGAAAACATCACAATTTGTTCAATTTCTTTGTCTCTTTATTTTTCTAATGGCTAATGGGCTGTATGTTTGAATTTATTTATCTTTTTCTGTCTGTACAGTTAATTATAAAAATTTTTTAACATTTTTTGCATCAGAATTTAAGTTGATCCAAATTTTAGGAAAATGAGTTAACAATTATTGTTGTCTTTTAGCTTCATGGTTCTCAGATCACATTTGTGGTTTAAAGAAAGATTATTTATGTCATTTTTTGCCATTACTAAAGGATTATCTTTACCTTCATGGATGTTAAATATAACTATTTTTGTAACTAAGGACATTTTCTCTTTTTCCAAAAGGCTGCACATAAGGCAGTTGTTGCTACTGAATCTGTGTTGGGCGCTCTAGAAGCAGAAGTCAACTATCTGAAGCAACAGTTGGATGCTGTAGAACTGGAGGAAATGAATTTCTTACATGAAATGGAAAATGAACAAAAAATAAAAAATGAGGAAGACCTTGCAAGACTTAATAAGAGGACAGAAGAAGATGAAAATGAGCAAATACAACAATTATTACTTAATTTAGGTATGTCAAACCAAAATGTTCACCCTGTGTCAGGTCCGGCGTCGTCATATGATGAAAGCCACAACTTCCGAGGCTTCCAAGGGATTGATTCAATGCCATCACTCCCCGCAAATTCATCAAATGTGAACATGACTAGTCGTGACTTCAGCTCAAACAATGTTCAACCACAAATTCTTCATGTGGATAAAAAGCAGGGTAGGGCTGCTAATAGCCCGAAAGATGTTCCAGACAGACGTGATAAACAAAGGACTAAAGCTAAAACAGATAAAGGCGATCCATTTTCATTTGTTGACGATGTGTTGCAGCAGAGGAAGCCAAATGGAGCTGACATGCAGGGCACAAGTTTGCAAAGTAAATCCAGTTTGACATCACAAGACCTTAACCATACCGCTACCACTTCTGCTGCTTTGAAGGAAGTTTACAATAAAGCTGAAATGCCCAATAAAGGCCACAGAGTTATGGGCAACACAGCCAGCAAGCCAGCTCCTAACTCTGGGAACAGTAAAGATGAAAGAAGTGAAAATAGTGATGGACATTTAGGTAAGATTAACTCCTGTGAGGAGACAGTGACCTTGTCATCATCACCTGTGTTTTAAACAAGTCTACAAACTTCTTTACATTGATAATTGTTTTTAATTTTTATTATTATTATTTTATTTTTTTTGCACTTGTTTATTTTTTATTTGCTTTGGAAATGACAAGGAGATTGATAATTCAATTATTTTCAGAATTATCAATTTGTTTGTACCTATATGCCATTTTCAATCCCAATTACTTGATAAAGCCTCGTGTCTGTGGTGTGAAAATTTGACACATCTTCAATAAAGGTTATTTTTGAGTTTTTGCTAGTCTGGTCTGTCTGCATTCACAGCAAAGAAGAATATATTCTGTTTCTCATGACATGCTAGTTGGACAGCCAACCTTTAATGCTTATGTTTTTAGATGAAACTTTAAAAAAAAATATTACCTTATTATTGCCAGTATCGGTATTAGTTTTTAAAAATAGCTGCATGTTTGTTTATTTCATTATTTAATAATTGAAAATAATAGGACCCTCTTTCTCTGCAAAAAGTGTAGGATCTGCAGTTATGTCGTTAAAGTCTTTCACCACCATGTTTGCAAAATGAGGATGAGGATGTTATAGTTTTTTGTATTTTCCTTTTTTTTTTGCTGATCGAAAATGAACATCCCTTAATCATTACCCAATGTTGTTCATTTCCGTATCTCCCTTATTTAGATACTGCCACCCTCTGTTGCTAAAAAATAATGTTTCTCTTTTTTTTTGGTATAAACATTTTATATCTGCGCAATTTAGTATTTTCTTTATAAAATAATGTTTTTAAACAGATAACTCTTGTGATAGATTTATCAATCTAAGTTTGGTAGTTTTATCAATGAGGTATTTTCTGTCTTTACCTTTGTGGTTGATCCCATTATAGAATAATAAATTTATTTAGGGCACTTAAAAGGGTTACTTTTTTTATATCAGACTTTAAAAAAAAAAAAAAATATGGAAGGGTGGTTTAGAAAAAAAAAAAAATTGTATCACTACTGGTATTACTGGTATATTGAAATAAGCTGAAAAATATAAATGCTTATTAATTTTAAAGATAAATAAGTGGTACTATGGGTAACAGGTTTCAATGTTATTACATGAAAAGGTCAGCTTACTTGCTGTATGAATTGGTAAAAGTGAAGCCTTTCTTTTTGCTAATAGGTTTGAAATTTCAACTGTGCCAAAACTTATTTGCTGTTTTATTATTATCTGCTTATTCTACCTTTTGTTTTAATGCATCTACTTTCAAATGTAATCATTTGTCAGCCAATAATAATAACATGTCTACATGTTTATTATCATTAACAATAACTACTCAAATATATATTCTTTCTTAAAACTGAATAGTCAAGTTCCAGCTGTCTCTTGATATTAGAAAGCCTTCTTTGTAAACACAAATCAATATTTAACATTGACACTTGAAACATTATTCTCAATTGATCTAATCAGTGTCCTTTCTGTTTATATTTATGGCTGGGTGTTTTTTTTTCAGAAAATTTTTCAAGAATTAAAATAATTTGTAAAGAATGCTTTTGTGTGTCACTCTTTATGTAGATTTTACAGATGAAGACTTTTCTCTGCCCAACAATTCAACATGTTCCTACTTAATAAACAAAGACCTTGTGCAAGCTCTGCCTACATGTTGTTGTTTTTTTTGGGTGCAACTTTGAGAAAAGAAACAATAGCAAAAAATATGGCAATATTTAAACTTATTCTTGAATTGATTAAAAAATAATAATTTTAAATACAAAACCATTCTATTCTAAGAAAAAATGTATTTAAGAACAAAAAAAAACAACTTTGCACCAATTAATTTGCTCTCCATTGGCTGCACTGTTGCAAAAATGCTGGGACAATATATTTTTGTTTGTATTTGATAAATATAAATATTTGATCTGAAGGGAAGTTGGGCTCAACAGCTTTTTCTTTTTGGGATACTGCCATAAAGTACATTAAGAATATTCTGTTATGTAAATTTAAGAAATTAAAACTAAAGGATTCTTAACAAGTTTGTCTTTATTTGAATTTATTAAAAGTGAATGGAAAAACTAGAATCGTAAATTATATTAACTCATTCATATTAAAAGCACAAAACTCAAGTATGCTTGTCATTTGAAACTGATCAGAAAAATAATTGGGGGGGGCGCGCGCGTTTGAACTAAAGAATTCTGATCTGAATCAATAAGTCGCTAAGAGAGACAACCTTTGCAAATGTAACATTATAAGAATAACGAGTCCCCTTAAAAGTTTTATACATTTTCCCCTACATTAACTTAGGGAATAAGTTTTTTTTTATTAAAAAAAATAGCTATTAGTTCTTACAGAATTATGAGTTTTGATTTGCTGAAATCTATTTTTTAAAATTCAGTTTACTTAAACGGCAGTCATTTTTGACGGGTGGTTGTTCCTTTTTCAAGACCAGCTACTCTTGTTTAATTTCTTGCTTATTTAATGGGCGATACTTTATGTCGGAAATAATTCCTCGATACCACAAAGAACGCGTTAGCAATTACCGAAAACACATTCAAGTGCAGACATGAAAAAAAAAAAATCATTGACCTCTTTTCCAGTTCTCATGATAAACGCATGCGCAATAAATTCTGCATCCTCAAACATTTTAAGAAACTGTGCAATTTTTGTGTGCCTTAAAATGATACGAAGAGCGGTGATCCAAATATCATTTTTGTATATGTTCTACAATCAAGAGCTACAGGTTACGGACACCCCCATCTCCCCCAACGCACACACACTTTTCAACCACAACCTGCAAACAATAAAATTATGAAAGTTTTCATGTGTATATTTATATATAGTATATTGAAGTTTAGAAGAACAATATCAAATGTTTGGGTCCTAGTTGGATTTGAGTCGATTTTGCTTTACCTTGCCGTACGCTTTTTATTGGTCGCTAATTCTCTGAGGATAATGTGCTCCAAAGTTCACCAGTGAGTTTGCCTCACTTGCTAGCACGGTCCATAGCAAGTGGTTTACACGAATCACGTTTAAAGTCCATGGATTTGAGTGAAGCTTCTAGGCAGTGATTGGAGCGGTTTTTTGTTCTCCTCACCTGCTGAGCGTTTCCCACATTAGTCGTTTGGGAAGTCTGATGTCAAATACGGTAGGTATTATGTGGGTCATGTTTCCAGGATCCAAAGATTCTCAATGGGCCCTGAACCAGACTATCCAATGTTCCCAAATTCAGAGGGCTTAATCAGGGTCTGACAGACTGTTAGTATGTTTTCAGGGGAAATGGTTTTTATCCTAAAGGGTGACAGGGCGTGAAAGAAATACTCATGTGTTAAAGCTCAACCCCCAGCAATACCAGAAAACAAGTCAGCACAAATCCAAGCACTTCGGTTATGTGGAACTCGTCATGGAACTAAAACCTCGGGTACATATCTCCGCGGCCCTGAGGCTACATCACGCAACCTTTTTCAGTAGCTAGAATTTGTGGCACACGTGGCGTCCTTGACTTTGCCATCCTTAATTAACGAGAAATAAAATACATACAAAATACACGTAAAAATACGCTAGAAAGTACATGCTGTTCCAAAATAAGTGCCCCCCTCCTCTTCCACTTAGTCCAGTGCCCAGTACCCGCAACTTGAGTAGGCCTAATAAACCCCGCAAAATTAAAATAATAAATCCAGGGCAGGTGTCCCGTGGACGGTTAGAAATTAAACTCAGTAAAATTTCAGGCAATTCCTACAACGCACCTGGGACCAAGCAGTATCCAGTTACTGGTACCCAAAGTCCCTCTGGGCTCATCAGCTGTGTGGAGAAGGGGTATCGGCTGTCACATCATAAATAAGATCCACTTTACCCCATTTTCAATATAGTTCTGCACTCTAGAAAATATGTTTGCGGCTCAACCCCACCCCATCTAGGAAAATATAAAGACTTAAAAAGAAGAAAAAATGTAAGTCTTTGTGATAACTATGAATATATATATATATCATATTCTCTATATATGAAAGAAATTATGAAGCAATGATGAGCTCAGTAGCGAGCAAAATAAAATTCCCGATAACTGAGCTAAATTAGATTCTTAAAAATACCGCAATACCGTAATATTTTCTTTTGTTTTTCTGAAATAGTTAATGTAATAAATCTGTGGTGTAAAATCGGGTATATAAAATAGTTCAGAGGCGTTAAAAAATGTGCGGGTGAGAGCCTGGGGGTGGGGGGGGGATCTTATTGGGAGTCTTATTATGTGATTTACTTGAACGCATGTTTTGTAAAATTTTATGCCCTACCTCCATTTCTGAAATAATTATATAACTGTGCTCTTGTTCGTGTGTTTCTCTCTTGAAAAATCTCCGGAAGGGAAATTTACCCACTCCCTGTCATCCTATCGAGCTGAAACTTGGCACATTGACTCGTTGCCAATAACAACACATTCTATCAAATTTTTAGCCCCACCACACCTCCCCCCTCCCCCCAAAAAAACCAACAGTTTTTTACGGTTCAGATGAAAGAAATATAGCCACCACTAAGTTGAAAAGAAAATGCATATTAAGGATTTATACACAAACTTTTGTTTGCATGCTGCATGGGTTGTTTAATTCATTCCTTTTGTTTTCAAGTAAGTTTTGTACGTGGGAAGTTCACGCATTGCCTCCCTCATGGTTTGGTGGGCTATAACTACTTTTTAGATAAATTATATACTTTTTGCGAGAGTAGGAAATAAGAATACATTTAGGTTAAAATCTTATTTGTGATGCTCAACGGTGTAGGCATTAATACTGTAATCCTTGATTTTGAAAATTCGAGTATTACTCTGTATCGAGTATAATAATCGTCCTGCACCATAAAAGACGTGTATCCAGTGACTCATGAACTATTAACCGGTAGTTTTCCCATTACATTATAATCATTACAAGTTCGTAACCAAAATAGAGGTGTGCTTTCATTTCAACTTGAGAAACTGAGTTGGGGGGAAAACTGATCTATTAGCAAAAATAACAACGAGCACAATGGCAGATTTGGACGCAGTAAGTGTTTATTTTTCAAAATTTTTCATGATATATTATATATTAATTTTATGATAATAAGTAAATTATTATATTATCATATTTACAACATTCACACTTCAAAGTATTTCGACATAATAATATTAATAGTATCCTTATGACTTATGAGGCCTAATGCCTAATAGTAATGCTTATACTTATCTGAAATTATCACAATCAATGGAATGTAGGCTATGCCATCATTGGCATTGGTCAACTTATGCTTTATTTATTTTATAATGGTAAAAGTGCAGTTCAGGTGCGTATATTATTTCTTAACGCATTTCGTATTTTAAAAATTTTTTATCATGTTAACTTACGTGTATTCTTTAATTATTAAATACAGGCATTTAACTAATTCTGAATTATAAGTCACATCTTTTCTTTTTATTTTACTTCTAAAGAGTCTTTAACCATCCCCCAACCAAAGTGAGACGGCCCCATTTGTTTGTATTTTTCTTTTCACCCTATGCCAGATTTTTTAGCCACCTATAAGTTAGTATGCTAAACGAAATTTTCAAACTTTAAGCATGTTCACAAAAAAGAATGAAATACTAGATTTTTCTTTTTCATTACGCACAAGCCCCCCCCCCCCACCCCACATTATTTTTTTCATCTCAGAGCGCTCGGGATATAGGGGTTGTCCTTTGAAGTCGGGTGGGGGGGGGGGGATTAGAAGAGGATCACTGACTAAGGCAGTGGACACACACGTCATCATTGTCCTGGACCTGGAGGGAAGCTGAAAAAAGAAAAGGAGGGGGGGGGGTGCACGAATCCGTGCCAATGTGTGATCACATGTCCACTTTGAAAAAAATATATTTGTGACGTTGCACAAATGGGGGAAATCGGAATGATAGCGTTGGGTCATTTTGATAGTCATCTCATCCTGAAGGCTGCTAATACGGTGTCCGTGATTGGTCAGCTCTAATTTGACTACCCCTCTCTTTTTTCGTATGCAAATGCTCTTATTAATGGTGACTGATTTGCGCTGAGTAAAGTGAGGGCTAGTGATTAATTTTTTTATATTATAAGACGGACTCGTTTTGGCTTTGCGGTATTGCTGGTTGTAGGATCATTTTGTTTAAAATGGCAGGACGACCAAGAAACAATAACTAAAATTGTTGATGCAACAGGCATTTTAAATGGTGCAGCATTTGGTTTAAACGCGCACCTTGTGGGGCAACAAATAACGTTAATACAACTGGCATTTCTCCTAAGGCGCTCGTAACAATTGCAATGTGGCTTGTAAGCTGGGTTCGTATGTCAAGTATGTGAGCTGCCTATAATTACCGGGATCTGCATATCACCCCAAACGGGATCTCACCGTAACCGGTATCCCACCGGGATTGGTAACCCACTGGATCGGGATCCCACCGGGATCAGGATCTCACTTGGATCAAAATCCTATCGGGATCGGAATCTCACCGAAACGGGATCCCACCGGAATCGGGATCCCACCGGGTTGGGATCTCATTTAGTTTGGGATCTCATTTAATTTGGGATACCACCATGGGATCCCATCATGATCCTTCCGGGTGCCATCGAAAACGGGAAAAACGAAAAGTTTACATAAGTTATTTTAAGTGCTTTTATAGGAGACAAATTAATTATTATTTTTTTTTACTATAGTGTTGTTGTTTTGTTGTTGACATTTCCTTTAATAGCAATGTGAACTAAAAGGACGTAGCAGATGGTTTTTTCTGAATGCAGCCCCGGGCAACTCCGGTTATAGTTGATAGTAAAGTTATAAAATAAATACATCATTTATTTTAACTAGATTCATCCTATTGGGCAACTTTTATAAAGTATCTTTAAAGACAGAAGAGTTATCCTTGATTTGCCACAACGGCTCCGTAAAACACGAAAGATTCATAAAAATGTATTTTTTTTATCTCGTAAAATTTGTTAAATTGTTGTTGTATTCCAATAAAAAGATGGTATAAAACTTTTAAAATACTTTTTATAAAGAATTAACATAAATTTACACGGTAAAATAAGAGATTCAAACAGAAATAATATACGCACCTGAACTGCACTTTTACCCTTATAATTTACTTCATCTACTTTAGCGGAGTAAATTAAATGCAAATCGCGTTTTGTTTTAAAGTTGACTTTTTAATAAATGAAATGATCAACCCATCTCATTATTAAATATTAAAAGTAAAATACCATCTTTTTGTTCCAATAAAATATAAAATAATAAAACCATGCCATTGAATATTATTAAAAAATGGGAAGCGTTATCCACACAGCTCTGCGAATAATGTTGAGCGTTATCGACAGACCTAAATCTTCGAATAATGCAGAGCGTTATTGTTAGACAGACATTTTATCATAATTACGCAAATTTCTAGAAATAATTAGGATCACATTCCAAGCTGGGGTTGGGGTGGAGTTTTAAGTAGTGTAGGATCTATCGATCTTTAATGAGTATGGCATAAACACATTTCAAAACCGAAGCTATGCACAAATTAAATTTAAAAAATTTAAAAGGCATTAAATTTAAAAAATTTAATAGGCCTAACTATAGCCTATATATTGGATGTAGGACAATTAATTGTGCCCACATCTGCTCTGTTAGGGGCCAACATAGGGTCTATTCGACCTATAGAGTGTTACTAATATATCCATTCAAATCTCCTAGACATAAGAAATAACAGTAATAAAAATGGTACCAGTATTCTTCATGTAGGTTCACATTCACCCACTTTAGAGAGGTCTTAAAATGATGTCAAAGCTTGATAGGGTATCGTTTAGTTTTTTTAAAGCCCTATGATATATCACCTAGTCCAGAAATGTTCTGTCAGAAATAGTTGCAGGGCCATGCTGTGCAACAGTGTTATGATGCAGAGAGGTGGCTGCATCAGGCAGCCATGTGAGAGATGGGGAGGGGCAAATAGGCCCTACATCGATAATAACAGAATCTAATACTGTTAAAGTTTAAGGCTAGTATTTTTTCCTGATACTTGAGGGTGTCCCTTAGTCAACCCAGCTCTGGCAATAGCTGGTAAAAAGTAAAGGTGGCTGGTTATTGCGCTGGCCATACACTCAAACTTGTAAACGCTGCTTCAATAGGCCCATGGGTAGGCCAATATGATCTGAAGGAGAACTTTACTTCCCCAAGAGTCGCAATGCATCCTATGACCAGCAAGGTTCCAAATAATTTTTTTATGCTTTTTTTATATTTAGACCAATAGTTACACCAGTGGCAGTATTGCTTTTTATATTTAGACCAATAGTTACAACAGTAGCAGTATTGCTTTTTATATTTAGGCCCATAGCTACAATAGTAGCAGTATGGCTTTTTGTTTCAAATTATCAACATTTTTTTACAAGAGCTAAAATTGTTGATGTCACTGATATGCTTTAAGTATGTTCATTTCATTGTCATTACTAAGTGTTATTTCAACTATTCTGGAGCGGCATATTGTATCCATACTTATGATACAATTTAGAAACTACCACTAAACAATTAAAACATGAAATATTTTTTTAGATAAACATTAATACATAACTCTGAGATATAAAAAATTTGAATAAGTAAGTTGTTAATGTTTATTTGTTTATTAGAGAACAAAACAAATGGATGTTAAAGTCTATGGATGGAAGTATACAAAGAAAATTAAACAGTCAAAAGAGCTTAAAGTATATCACAATGTACAGTTAGAACAGCTGTATCTGGCTGAAACATTGTTTATGCAGCTAATCTGCATGTCCATGTTGTTTAAAGTTTTTTGACGAAACTTGAATAAACATTCTAACAAAATAGATTGAAACTAGAATTTTGAATACCTACGTTGTCGGACAGAATGAAAAGTATAATAAAATTGTATAAATAAAAAGTATAATAAAACTATATGAAAATAATAATAATAATGATAGTAAAACTATGTGAACAGAATAATAAAGCTATAATATAACAATACGAAAATAACTTTAAAATATTTTTTTAAAAAAATATTTATTTGTAAAAAGTAGTTTCCCCGGCGGGGAATCGAACCCCGATCTTCCAGGTAACAGCCGGAGATACTTACCACCATACTACCAAGCAGATATCTGCAAGCGAACTTTGTATTTTATATTCATAATTTAATTTATCATATTCTGCGAATAATGCCGAGCGTTATCGGCAGACCCAAATCTACGAATAACTGCGAGCGTTATCGGCACAGCTCTGTGAATAATCACTTCGAAAAAAAAATTGTACGAGATAAAAAAAGTACATTTCATGCAACTTTTGTCATTCACATCGCCATTGTGAGGCGTCATCAGGTGGCACATTTTCTATAATATATCCTGGGGCTGTAGTAGTTTCAGGTTTGACAAGAATGCCAAATGACATAGGAGAGAAAAGGGTGCACCACCAAAACCCCAGAGTAAAACAGCTCAAAGACTGACCTATGCTGCTATGCTTAGATTAGGGTGACCCTAATCATGAACTGGAAAAAACGGTTTGGGTGGATACCCTCTAGCTAAAGAGGGGTCTGGGGTCCTCCGCCGAAAACTGTTTATTTAAATATGCTCATTTCAACCTTTTTGAGACCCAGAAATCTTTTTAAATTTACCTTCACTATTGTAATTTAATTTAAACTCTGAGGCATATTATAAACGAAAACAATAATTTTGCAGTGAATAATTATTTATTTATACATATTTTACAACATCATATCTATGGCAAGGACACTCGTTTACGCAGCGTTGGCAGAGTGGTGGAGGGGGAACAGTGCAGCCGTCACGCGAGACCACATCACTACTGGCACTGGCTACACAGCTAGCCAAAATATTACTTGAAGTTATATTATAAATTAGGAAGTTTTAGTTATTTGAAAATGTGTTTGGTTTTAGAAACGGGACATGTAGGCGACCCGAGAGACTTTTTCGGGACACCGGGTACGATCGTAAAAAAACGGGACAATCCCATTTGTACGGGACGTTTGATCACCCTAGCTTAGATGGATAGACTATAGACAATTTTCAATGTAGAAAAAGATCTACAGTAGCTGGGAATACATGGAAAAGAAAAGCATCAGTAAGATCTGAGTGGAAGAAAGCGGTGAGGCAGCGCCAAAGCCCTACATTGACTGTAAGGCCACAGGGATGGATGTAGTTTCAGGCTCTGCCCTCGGCATCGCTAACAGTCCTGCTTGGATTAATGACATCACACAACTAGTTCTTTTGTTTTTTGTTGTGGTTGGGGGGGGGGGGGGGGTGAAGAGACAATGTTTGATAAAAGTGTATAATTTTTGTTACAAATTTGTGACTACTTCATTATCATTAAATAGTTGGTGATTTCATAAAGGCAAAAAGAGGGCAAAAAATGAAATATACTGCCATATGGAAGTGAACACCAGAGCAAACAGATTACAAATAAAGCAAAATGAGTCCGTCCTACCGCATATAATTTCTAACAATGTCTCCCAATGTTAACTCGAGGCAAAGTCAACTTGGGTGTCCACTAACTAGTTAAGACCCGCCTATCAAATTAGAACTGACCAACTACAAACCTCTTACACCCCTTATTTGCCTACTATGAGTTGACCTACAACTGCCAAAAGAAATCTTTTTCACTTGCATATGAAAGGGGCTTTGGAGGATTTGAAACTGATAAGGATTTTAAATTAATTTTATCTTGATATGGATATAAAAAAAAAAGAAAACGAATCAAGATTTCTTTAAAAATAAATAAATAGAAAATGGTCATACAATAAGTCGCTTTGACATGGCTGTGAGGAACTGTTGCTTCATAAAGCAAGAAAGACTTGGTTCACTAAATAAATCCAAAACTGTTTATTTCCATTTGCTATGACAACAGCAGTTGATAGGAACACATTTGCCATTCATGTCATGTTAGAGAGGAAGAGAAATTAATAAAGATCCCATGAAAAGAAGTTGAAAGTAACTATAAATATAATGACTTGATTGGTGTAGCTCCATATACACGATCTCAACACTAACCATTAAATCAGTAAACAACAGGAACAGTTTCAAAAGCTTTGCAAATAGGGGTCAAATCCTGTGGGGAAACTCACCCAAAACAGGATGTCTAAAACTGAAAACTGATTAGCCAAAAAATAATGGTACTAACATTCCTAATTTTAAATTTAAAAAAAAATAAATATTGGTTTTATTTAATATAAAGTACAATTTTTATTTAATTGATGCACTTAGAATAAATAAAAAGGATAGGCTAAAAAAGCACATTAAAAAACAATCTTCACTTATTAGCCTAATATTAGGCTACATTATTTCAGAATGTTATGTTCCTTATACTTAAATGCCTGTATGGCATATAATTATGATTGTTATAATTTAGAATATAATGTGATGATTCATAATATACTATTTATTTTTATCTATTTATTTAAACTACTCAAGCATTGTGCATTTCATGAACTTTCCCACATGAATTTCTCGGCCAAATGTTTCCTCCATTACAATGAATGTTTCTGCAGTTATGCATCCCACATAGACCAAGATCTGTTGTTCAGAGTTAGACTATAGACTATGTTATACTTTAGAGACTTGAAGAAACTGAAATATCTTTTGAAAATTAAAGGAAAGGTGGTACAATAATCTTAGTGGCATAGATAGGGTTAGTGTCACCCAGGGTTAGGGTTAGTATCACCCAGGGTGTGCCAGTCTTTTCGCCGCTCCCACCCACAAAAAAACTCTTCAGTTGGCAGAAAATGCCACACCTCTTTGTATAGAAAAAAGTGCCTCTGAAGCAGACCACCCCCTCCGCACCCCACTTCCTAAGTCAGTGAAGTAATCTATAAGTAATTTAAAATGTACAATTTATGTCTTCTAACTCATAATGTCACTGGCCAGGTAACAGATGTGGAGATATCAATGTTAGGTTTAATAACTTATCTGTAATTTAAATGCCATTTCTGGACTGAATTACCCTGTCCCATCCATCCATTCAATACTGATTACCATAAATAACTTTGTACAATATATCCAATATACCTCTAGTAGAAACATTACATTCTTGTAAAAGATGCCTCTGAAGTCTTGCAATAATTAGTGCAGATTAAAGTTTGATATGCTTACACACTAACACTCAGTTGATGTAAAATTAGGAATTAAAATATGCTAAACTGATTCTGGTGCTATGAATATTAATCAGTAAGCTAAGTACTACAGCAGTTGTATTGTGTTTCTTCTCATTAGAAACCACTGAATAAAAATATAAATGGCTTCAGCTAACATTATCATACATAATTATTATGCATGAGATAATTCATAATAATGGTCCATGTAAAAGTCAACTTAAAACTAGTTTTAAAAGCCCATGTTTTAGAGCGCTAAATGTTGGATGTTTTCTCCCAGGTTCTGGTTCCAAATCTGAGTACTTTTTAATTGATGTAAAAGGGGGATAAATGTGATTTCAAGTTCAAGTGGATATTAAATTGAATTAAATGAACAAACCAAATGATGACCCCATTTCAATGTGTCAATCATTCGCCATCCCATTAACTAAACAAACTGGTCTTGATGAGATGACATGAAATAGCCCTTCAACTCATTAACAACATATTAATTACTGTTACAGCCACAAAGATTGTTATTTTAAGTTTATAAGTATCTGATAAAACTTTTTAAATAGTGCTAACAAACGTATTTATTTATCAAGGTTGATTATTTAAGAGTTGATTATTTTATAGATAAACAAAAATTTTGTTAACCAGCATGTTAAATAGCATGTGCAGGTATGTATATTTGTTGATTCACATTGATTAACAATGAAATCTGAATGCATATTTAAATCTTTCAGCAATTCAACGCAGCTGCAGAAGAGGTAAAAAAATTGACAAAAGACCCCAGTGATGAAGAGAAGCTAACACTTTATGGTTTATTTAAACAAGTAACAGTTGGTGACTGCAATACCGGTGAGTGATGTTTGTTCTCTTTATTGAAATAAGTAAAATTATTTCAACTGAGCTTCATTTGTTTTTTTTTCAGTTCAGCACTAAATGAAAGACCAGGACGTCTTAACAATTTTTACTTGCCTCGTTATCTTGTATTTGAAATAGATGATTTGAGGATCACTTTGATATATTTAAATACTTAAAATAAATAAAAAATGACAGAAAGAATATTTTTCTATTATTACAAGACATTTTTTGCATTTGCGTTTGAGATTAAGGACAAAGGTTTCATCAAATAACTTTTAAGGATGAAAAGCTATAAACTTTAAAAAATTAAGGGATGTGAGGAAATCAGTTACAGTTACAAAGACTGTGAACACAAGTGCAAACCCAACAAGAACTTATCAGTACATCATCACCAATTCTAGTCAGTTTATCTGAAATCAAAATTTATATTTTAAAATTTTTGGACCATGTTAAAAGTATACCAACTTGTCTTTGTGGTGACTAAAGGATCATGCTTCCTCTGAGCATGAAATATTTACTTTGCCATCATACAAATTATGTACATACAGATGTACAAATTTCCTTTTTTTAGATGATTAAATCATTAACAATGGACAATGTCATCAGAGTTGTCCAGGTTATCTATAAAATTGTTTTAAACATAAGCACTAAAGTGATGGATGCACTTCCCTCTCATTTTAGAACTTAAAAAAAAAAAGAGATGTAAGATTTAAAACAATAGTAAGTGTCAGTTTCTCATTGCTTGGATTCTGCAGGTCGACCAGGTATGTTTGATTTGAAAGGAAAGGCAAAGTGGGATGCATGGAATGCATTGAAAGGTTTGTTAAAATGATTTTATTTGGCAATTTTCTTAGGGGAGTTAGCTGAATTATTAAATTAATTTATCTCAATATTAGCAAAATATATTTCACTTTTGATTTATTAGACACTTGGCCTTCATAATCAATCTTACATTAACCCCTTCATTACCGCTGGGTTTTTTTTTTGGGGCATCGATATTTGCTGACTCAGCAATAAAAAACACTTAATTTTTTTGTTTAAAAATTAAAAAAAAAAAGTTTTCAGTATTTTCACCCTCTATTGGATTTGCTTTTTAACTTGGCTATAGATTAACGAAAAAAGAAAAAAATATAGCATTGAAATATGACGTTGATGTGACGTTCTTGGTATTTTAGAAAAGTTCTTTGCCTCTTTGTTATGACGACAATGTAACGTCTTTGGTAATTGAAAGTGGTGATCATGACGTTGCATCGATGTCATCGGTAGAGAAGTGGTTAAGGATTTTGAAGTGACAATATTACTAGGAATAAGATTAATGTTTAAGGATAGCCATGTTGTTACGTAGTGACTTGTCATATCATCTAAATTTATCCAATTTGCAGGAAAGTCCAAAGTTGATGCTCAAAATGAATATGTAAACCATGTAGAGGAGCTGAAGAACAAATATGCATAGTCGCATTCTGACATTTTTATAGAATTATATAATTGAATGGTCAGTAACTTCTTTTTTGTTTGGTTACAAATTATAATTATAAATAATATTTAGCTGCTGATAGCATAGATACAAGTAATATACATGAAAAAACTTGATGATGGAAAGTCTTCACCATGAGATGAACATAATGTGCAAAGGAGAAAAGAATGAAAAATGTAAAATAAAACAAGAAAATATAAAGATAAATTAAAAAAAAATAATGACCTGCTTCTTTGGGCTTCGAGAATAAATGTATAGAGCTATGTCTATTTGCTTTATAGATCAGATAAACTGTAGACATCACGATTTTTTGCCTCCCAAACATTCTAACTGTATTGCCTTTCAATTATCTATTTTTTAATAGTAATAATAGTCTTCTACAAATGAAATAGAGTTACACAGAACTATTAATGTTTAGGTTATTCAGGCATATTTTTTTCTACAGGGCCAAGATGGACAACTTGAATCCAGGCAAGAGCCAGTTTTTATTTAATTGATTACCCAAAAATGCTTGCACTTTTACAAAAATCTAGTTCCCAACAGTTTATATGATTCTATCCATCTATGACAATCTTCACATTGGGCATTTCAAGATTTCAGACATTGAAATAAATATTCACATTATTCGAACAAGTTTATTTCTTTCTGTAATGTTATTTTAAAATAAAATTGTTGTTTGCTTCATGTTATTTGAAATATCCTCCATGATGTATTCATTACAATATACAATGTGCTGCATCGTGCATGCACTTAATGACCCAGAAATCTCCGGTCATTATCTATTTCAGTTTTCTAATATTTTTAAAGCAAATAAATTTTAATTTTTTGTTTTTGTTGTTATTTGAGTTTTATTCTTTGTCAAAGTTAAGTGTGTGGGTTCTTTTTGTCTGACCTACGTATATGTGAAACTCCAGTCTTTTATTTCTACAGAAAAGTGTTTGTATTAGTAAGCTTTATTGGTAGCACCATCCTCACTAATTGATCAATGAAATAAGTTGAACATTCTCCCCCCCCTCCCCCCCCCCAAATACTGCCTATGTAATTTTAAAATTGGTGCAACTATGTAGATGAATTTTTTTCTTTCTTTCAGGGCTCCTTATTACTGAGTCATGTGATATTCACATTGCCACAGGGGCCATAACTATAAATAACCGTGTGACGTTTGCAAAGACTTGTGTGTCAATAGAAAACGCTATGACATGGAGCGATTCTACACGGTGTGTGTGTCCGAGTAACATTATCTCATTAACATGGCTACATTCCACTTCTCACGTACCGGTCTGTGTTACTCAACTGTTAGATCCAAGTGTTGCTACTACCCGGATACTGATAACGTGTGACCGTGTGGGACGGTTGTTGAAATACAAGGTCCTTTTTGATTTAACCACTAAACTATTACAATACACGGTGCAAAATCGGTCTATGTGTGGACAATAGGCGAACCACCTGATAAAGGCTGTTGGGCGGAAAGCAACGTTACGAAGGCGTGTTGGTGGAGTTACAGCCACCCCCACCCCACCAAACCCCCCCCCCTCCACACACACACACAAATTATTGTTTGTATTGGATACATAGACACCAAATTAAAATACTAAGCCGATATTCCATTAACTATGTGTGGACAATAGGCGAACCACCTGATAAAGGCTGTTGGGCGGAAAGCAACGTTACGAAGGCGTGTTGGTGGAGTTACAGCCACCCCCACACCACCAAACCCCCCCCCCTCCACACACACACACAAATTATTGTTTGTATTGGATACATAGACACCAAATTAAAATACTAAGCCGATATTCCATTAAATTTTGGCGTCCAAATAATTTATCTCAAGGGCATCATGTAACATTTTTAGTTTGGTGTAGATTAGGGTGACCAAATCATGAACTTGAAAAAACGGGACACTTTCAAGGACGGAAAGGGGGGGGGGGATACCAATACTAACAACATTGAAAACCGTGCACTCGGCTTTACTATCATAGGGTCCCTTTTTAATATAGTTCCACTCTTTGGAATACTCCTCCATAATCTTACATTTACGCTTGAGCATAACTATTATCTACATGAGAATTTAATATAAAATTAAAGAATAAAGTTCAACACCCTAAACAAACACCTGTCACTCTGACACGAACAGGCCGGTAGGGATCACACATGAGACTCACTCTGACACGAACAGTCACACATAAGACTGTCACTCTGACACCAACAGGCCGGCAGGGATCACACATAAGGCTGTCACTCTGACACCAACAGGTCGGCAGGGATCACACATAAGACTGTCACTCTGACACCAACAGGCCGGCAGGAATCACACATAAGGCTGTCACTATGACACCAACAGGCCGGCAGGGATCACACATAAGGCTGTCACTCTGACACCAACAGGCCGGCAGGGATCACACATAAGACTGTCACTCTGACACCAACAGGCCGGCAGGAATCACACATAAGGCTGTCACTCTGACACCAACAGGCCGGCAGGGATCACACATAAGACTGTCACTCTGACACCAACAGGCCGGCAGGGATCGCACATAAGACTGTCACTCTGACACCAACAGGCCGGCAGGGATCACACATAAGACTGTCACTCTGACATTTTCGGCGCGCAGTTACATCCTCCTCCCCGTCCCCTTTTTGCTACAAATTTCATGTCTTTCGCTATACATTTACATATAAGATATATAGTCTATGGCAGGGACACTGGCGGAGGGGGAACAGTGCAGCCATCACGCGAGTCCACATCAGTACGGGCACTGGCTACACAGCTAGCCAAAATATTACTTGAAGATATATAATAAATTAGTAAGTTTTTATTTAATTTGAAAATGGGTTTGTTTTAAAAAACGGGACATTTAGGCGTCCCGAGAGACTTTTTCGGACAACGGGTGCGATCGTGAAAAAACGGGACAATCCCGTTTTTTACGGGCCGTTTGGTCACCCTAGCGTAGATGACCGTTTGGTCACCCTAGCGTAGATGACCGTTTGGTCACCCTAGTGTAGATGACCGTTTGGTCACCCTAGTGTAGATGACCGTTTGGTCACCCTAGTGTAGATGACCGTTTGGTCACCCTAGTGTAGATGACAAACAATCTACAGAAGCGGCGCTGAGCACGAAACTCTTGCCCGGTGTAGATGAGACAGTCTGTCAATGAACTGCCGAGAAATTTCCCCGCCAGAATTGGTGTCATCGGCCATCTGTTCTGTGCACCCACAGACAGAACAAGCTCAGACGAACATCGTATGATTCTAGAGTGCTCCGGTGACGACAGAAGAACCTTACTGGCTAGTAAAATTTTCGTTGGGGGGGGGGGGGGAATCTACGCATACGTCACGCCTACAACTACACGACAATGTTTTTGTTCTTTTTTCAGGTGGGGCATTCTCCACTTACGTCCCTTTAAAAGTGTGAGTTACTCTTTTCGAAACTTGAATGGCGCTATTATAGTTATGCCACAAATGAAGCCCAGCTATAATTAGGGTATAAGATTGACTGCAATATTTGTCAAGCGTTTAACAAAAATGTTGTACCGGTACATGTCCAAATATAAACACTAGTCACATATTGGGAATCTGAAATCCGGACAATGCGGGGGGGGGGGCGGGGAAATACCGGCCCACTTCAGGGGCGTCTATGCCATGTGCACTGTCTGGCTCATTGCTAAAGATCGTATTTGTCAAAGCATGGACAATTTTACATCTTGGACATGGGCCCATCTTCACAATATGAATTACATTGGTCTGAGACATGTTCAACTTTGCTTGTAATAAAGTTGTAACAACCGTTGCAAATATAGCGAAGGTACAATAGTTTTGTGTGTTGTGTGCCTCAGTCGGATAGATTGTCGGGCCAACTTATCAGGGAAAAAGATAAAGGTCGAAGGTCAACATTATCTGAAAGGCAGTTGGCCTTGGCCAGGTGTCAACGCCTGATTCGGTAGCAATATAATATCCAACAAGGTCGGAGTTCTGCAGTGTCTCATTTTCTGTCTCGGGTTGATCCTGTATTTAAGTATATGCCAAAACGTGCCAAGTGTACTTGTTTTTATAGCCATTGTAATGTTTTAGCTACTGTTTTTATAGCCCTTTTTCACATTGTAGTTACTATTCTAGTGTCTCTGGTTTTTCATTTTTATTTTACTTTAGCAGTTTACATAGTTTACATATTTTTAATAATTGTAAAGCGCTTAGAGCTGTAAGGTAAGCGCTATACAAAAATGCCTAAATAATAATAATAATGTCAGACCGTTTGAATACATCACGGTTGGTTGGTGGGGTACCAAGTGTTGTAGAGGATATTAACGGGGGATGTCGTAGTGAAATCACAATAATAAGAGGTGGGGAATTAATCAGTAAGCTATTGTTAATGTTAGGGACAGTTGCAGAATGATCAAACATACGGCCTACTTAAGGAACGATGGGCTTAAATAATGTCATTAGGGACAGTTGCAGAATGATCAAACATACGGCCTACTTAAGGAACGATGGGCTTAAATAATGTCATTAGGGACAGTTGCAGAATGATCAAACATACGGCCTACTTAAGGAACGATGGGCTTAAATAATGTCATTAGGGACAGTTGCAGAATGATCAAACATACGGCCTACTTAAGGAACGATGGGCTTAAATAATGTCATTAGGGACAGTTGCAGAATGATCAAACATACGGCCTACTTAAGGAACGATGGGCTTAAATAATGTCATTAGGGACAGTTGCAGAATGATCAAACATACGGCTTACTTAAGGAACGATGGGCTTAAATAATGTCATTGGAAATTGCGTTGTTGTTTTAAAACAAGTATTATTAGAGATATACATGAACTGACAATATTTCAGAGTAATTAAGGATGAACCATAAAACGTGATGGGAGATGAACCATAACAAATTATGGGAGATGAACCATAACAAATGATGGGAGATGAACCATAACAAATGATGGGAGATGAACCATAACAAATGATGGGAGATGAACCATAACAACTGATGGAAGACGAACCATAAACAGTGACGGGAGATGAACCATAAAACTTGATGGGAGATGAACCATAAAAAGTGATGGTAGATGAACCATAACAAATGATGGAAGACGAACCATAAACAGTGACGGGAGATGAACCATAAAACTTGATGGGAGATGAACCATAACAAATGATGGGAGATGAACCATAACAAATGATGGGAGATGAACCATAACAAATGATGGGAGATGAACCATAACAAATGATGGGAGATGAACCATAAAACGTGATGGGAGATGAACCATAACAAATGATGGGAGATGAACCATAACAAATGATGGGAGATGAATCATAACAAATGATGGGAGATGAACCATAACAAATGATGGGAGATGAACCATAACAAATGATGGGAGATGAACCATAACAAATGATGGGAGATGAACCATAACAAATGATGGGAGATGAATCATAACAAATGATGGGAGATGAATCATAACAAATGATGGGAGATGAACCATAACAAATGATGGGAGATGAATCATAACAAATGATGGGAGATGAATCATAACAAATGATGGGAGATGAACCATAACAAATGATGGGAGATGAACCATAATAAATGATGGGAGATGAATCATAACAAAAGATGGGAGATGTACCATAACAAATGATGGGAGATGAACCATAACAAATGATGGGAGATGAACCATAAAAAGTGATGGTAGATGAACCATAACAAATGATGGAAGATGGACAATAAAAAGTGATGGGTGATGAACCATAACAAATGATGGGAAATGAATTATAACAAATGATG